GGTCTAGGTTCAGTAAGCCGTACACAGGTTTGTACACCATTGCTACCTGAGGCAGTTGTTTTTGCCCCGGAGCCACTTTGAAGCATTGGAACACGAGCATTGGCATCCGAATCCATCGTTTACGGTTTTTTGTTTCTTTGTTTCTCTTTGTTTCTTTTCAGGTAAAAAGTTGAAGGTTTAATTTAAAACAAAACAAATGGTTGATGAAAAGTAAACTTGATTACTAGGTTAAATTGATTGTTGTTTATCAAACAAAATTGGCGCTAATAATTGATTGATATGGCAAAGTTGGTAAACTGTGTGTCGTGTTGAAATTTACTGGTGCAAAACGATCAATCCACAACCCAAAGTAATAAACAAGTAATATCTTACGAAAAATAGAAACAAATCAAATTGAATATATTGTAATTATAAGATGGTGATATGGTGCAATGAATTAAAACGATGAACCACAAATTTAGACAATGAAAGGTGAACGAGAATAATCTCAATCTCTGAATAAAGTTGTTTTTCCAAATTGGCAACAAGGCTTATGGCAGTAATCACGTTAAAAATTTGAATCACGAAGAGAAAAAAATGGCTACATCAATATGAAGCTGATATGATGCATGTATTTTCTCCTCCAAATAGACAAGCAAACAAACAAAAAAAGTCAAATTTTTCCCTCTCTCCTTTATGCTTGTGATATCGTTAATTATGATGATTAGGCGGTTGATGGTAATGAATCCTTGTTGGTTGTCACTGTTACAGTTGAAGAAAAATGAAAGAAGAGAAGAAAAAAAGAGACAAAAATTGAGCAGCAAGTTAACAAAAGATTGAAACCATAGATATAATAATAATGATACTAATGGTGAAGATGATGAATAAGTTGAATATTATGGAAAGGGAAAAAAGTAAAATAACAAACCTATGGGTAATAAGGTTAAACGGTTAGTTGAGAAATAAAGCGATAACAAAATAGCAAGACAGTTGAGGGTCACTGCAACACGTTTGGTTACTTTTCTTGGTTGTCTTATCTCAAGTAATGTCGCTTACTGATCTCCTTAGTCGTTGCTCTTTCTTATTCTTTTACTTTCCAATGATGTTGTTTATGATGACGAAAAACTTGTTCCTCCTCTTCCTTTCTTTGGTCGTAACTGTTGATGATTGTGTTAACGTTTACATAGACACTCACCAAATAACAGAGAATTAGAGAGAACAGAAGAGGAGCAAAGAAAAATAGCGAGTGTAAAGAAAGATTCTAATATTAAATTTACACAATCAGAGGATGAAAATAGGAATGCAGAAGGAGGTGGATTGGTTGGGGCGAGAAAAGGAGAAGGCGGATAAACGAAGAAGCAATAATGTTGGTACAAATGTTGTTGGTTCAATTGTTGGTACTGTTGTTGGTTAGGTTGATGGTGAGACTGTTGAATAACTTGATCAAGAGTTGGTTAATTAAAACGATGATATGGTTGGAGAGAGAGAGAAAAGGCAGACGAAGAGTATGTTGAGTTGAGAAAGGGAAAAAGTATCACTGTGTTAACAAAATTTACTCTTGTGAGTGTTTCAGTATCTATTGTTGGTGATGTTGTTCAAGTGAATGTCGAACACAAATAAACATGGAAGAGAGGGAGAGAGAAGAAATAGAGAGGAGAAAAAAAGAAGAAGAAAACGTGGAAGTAAAGATGATGATGATGATGATTATTATGTTGATATTGATGATTATGTTGACAGGTTTCACTTTTTGTGTCACAAAAACTTATGTATTTCTAGTTATTAGACAATAGAAAACAAATTTCGGTTTACTTTATTCTTCTTTTTCCAATCTTTCACTTTCTCCTTCTAAGATCACTTTTCCTTCCATTTTCCTTCCCTCTCTCCATTTTCATCTCTTTACAAGTTAATGATAATTCACTTGTAATAAGTTCAATTTCTTATCTTCTTCTCACTTTCCCACTCTGCCTCTCTCCCTCTCTCTTCTTCTGACACTCTTTCAGCCTTTCTCTCGAGATCTCTCTTGTCCCAACTATTAACTGTGATATCTGTGATAATGTTCAACTCTTACTCTTCCAATCTTAGGTAAAACTGTGATTAAGAGGACAAACTTTCTTTCACACTGTTTACTCCTTTGGATCTCCTTTGATAACTGGATTAACAATGTGACGAATTGTTGGCAATAAGCAGACGTTGATGTTAACGGGATTGTTTCAAAAGTATTGTTGAATGTTCAACTTTATTCTGGTGAAGATTATTTTGCTGAGTTAAAATTTGAAGGAAAAACAAAACAATTTTCAAACCTATTTTTAAGATTGCTTATTTTGTTAGTGGCTTTTGCTTTCCAACAAGAGAAGGAATTAGGGATGAGAGAAATAAAAGAAAAGGATGAGGATGATGATGATGGTTGTGGTGATATGTTACGTTGTTGTCTCTTTGTACTTTCTTGCTAACTTTATCGGAGTACAATTAAGGTGAGTGAGGTGAAAGATAAAAAATATATATTCTGATTGGATAAAGTTTATCGGGCAAATTCGCAGGCGTAGTTAAGCTCATCATTTTGTTCATTTTTTTGCTCTTCAATAAATTAAACGCAATCTCACAATTTGATAGACAATTCAATTTTATTATCAAAATGATCCAATTGACTCCATCTCATGGTTAACAGAGATACTTTACCTTGTCAAAAATAATCATTTAAATAGTTGTTATTCAACTGTTTTTACAACAAAAAGGTGCCTTTTGTAAACTCATTGGATTATGGATTCAATCAATACATTTACAATCAATCTTCATTTGTCATTTTTACAAATTCATAAGCATTTTTTATTTTAATAATTATTCAATACAGTAAACCTTCTCAAAATATTAGTCACAGGTTTTTCCAGATATTCAATGAAATGGATGACAATTGACGATAATTGAAATGCTATCGATTTTTGTGCACCGAAATGATGAGGTTACTAAAATTTAACAATCAAAACTTGAAATTAATAGCGAACAATTAGCCAGAGAGGAAAGTTATTAGCTCCAACTATCATGTGAGATAGCTTGAAGTATCCAAGACTTGAATTTTGTTAGGGTTTACTGCAATTCAACAAAATTTACAGATAAATAAACAGTTTGATTAATCATCGACAAATTGTTTGGCTAAAGCTTCCGCATCTTGCAGACTTAGAGGAATCATATCCTCATCACTTTCATCGTCAGTGTTCATTCTCATCCTTTTCCTGGGTTTTTCATCTTCACTTTCATCTTCTTCTTGGTCAGACTCTTCTTCTCCTGTATCACCGTCTTGGTCTATATCATCCTCCTCTTCATCATCTTCGTCATTTCCATAATATTCATCTGGATCTGGTAACTCATCAATATATTTAGACAGCTTCTCATCATGATCTGAGTCTTCTTCCTCGCTTTCTACTTCACTCTCCTCTTCACTTTCTGCTCGACTATCATCATTAACAAGAGACTTCCTATCAGGTTTGGATAATCCTTTACGTTCAGCAAATCTTTTCTTGGCTTCTTCAGCTTTCTGTTTCTTTTCTTCTCTTTCTTTCAAACGTTTAGCCTAAAGAGGAATAAAAAAATGAATTAAATTAGAATCATTCAATAAATAGTTTTCGGAATAGTGGCAACTCATTAAACTTACTTTGTGTTTTTCTTTGATTATTTTTCTTTGTATTTCTTTATCAATTTTGTCTTCGTCTTCCATAATTTCTTTTGCTATGGCAATATCTATTCCACTTTTACATTTTTCATCCAACAATTTAACTTTTTCAGATTTTTGTTGCAACGGGAATTCTTCGACTGGTTCACCTTTATCGTCAAAAACAATTTTCTTGTTTACAGACAAATTTTTCCTTAAAATTTTCTTAGCTAGAGAAGCCTGAGTTACTACTTTCCCTTTTGTCAAAGGTTCAATTGATTTTATATCAATGTCTGGAATTGTTGGAACTTTTTTGGATATAAATAAATCTTCTCCATCAGACTCGTCTGAGGCGTGACCAGTTAATGTCAACTCTTTCTTTACTTTGGGTTTATCTTCGTCAGAATTAATATTTCCATCACTATCGTCAGGGTTCAATGAAGATGAGTTTTTATTGCCTTTGAGACCTTTGTTTTCTAGAAAACGAACTCTTGGTGTCACTATTAAACCATATGATCGAGCCAAAAGGTCCTTGTCAATGGTGGTTACATCAAACACGGTTTTATCCTTCATCATGTAAACATCCTTTAAATATTGTTTGAATGCTCTTTGAGCTGTTTCTTTAAGGGAAACATCACGGGCAAGTAACGCGTCTGCTTTCCTTATCATTGATTTTTGCATATATTGAGGTATCGTACTTTTTTGGATTGGAACTTTACGAGCTTCCAATTGTTCAACCATTGACTTTTCTTCGGAAGGTAAAAGGAAAAGGAGAGATTCACCGCCTTTATGGTATCGAGCAGTGCGACCTGCTCTATGAATGTACTGGCTAGTATCTTCTGGACAATCATATTGGACAACCCAATCAACAGCTGGAAAATCAAGTCCTCTAGAGGCGATGTCAGTGGCAACCAGACAGGCTTTTTTGCTACTCTTAAATTCATTGTAGATATTCATTCTTCTAAGTTGATGTAGAGTTCCATACAGAGGTAACATTGTCGTTCCTGGTTTTAATCGGCAAAAGAGTTGGTGAATGAACTTAGCTTGTTTACAAGTTGACACGAAGACCAAAATTTTCTTATTTACATTAGCTTTTATAAAAGACCAAAGGAGATTTAATTTTTGATGAGCTTCACAGACAATGTACTTCTGAACTAAACCTTCAGGAGTAACGGAATGAGAGTTTTCATGGACAGAAATATATTTTGGATCAACCAGACTAAGACGAGCTAAATCTTTCACTGATTTAGTTTGAGTTGCCGAAAAAAGAAGAGTTTGCCTTTCTTTAGGCAGATTTTCAATTATACTGTCCATTGTTTTCTTGAAACCCATATCTGAAAGAAATAGGAAAAATATTTAAATCTAGACACAATAAACCTTTTTTGTATTAAAATAAACCAACCATCGAAAAATTCTTACCTAAAATTCGGTCAGCTTCATCCAAAACCAAAATTTTCATATTGTCACAATTGAAAAGAGCATTTTCATGCATATGTTGCAAAATTCGTCCTGGAGTACAGATGACTATATTACACTTATTCATTCGATGTCTTTCGAATTTCAAATCTTTTCCACCGATAATCAAACCAACCGAAAAGTCATGGTATGCACCGATTTTGTTGATGGTTTCAAATATTTGGTAGGCAAGTTCCCTCGTTGGTGTAATAATTAAACCACCGACACCATCTAGATGAGTCCATTTCTCTTTTTCCAACTTTTCAAGGATAGGTATGAGAAAGGCCAATGTTTTACCCGATCCAGTTTTGGCAGCTCCTAAAATATCATCACCATTTAAAGCAGATTCAAGTGTTGCCGATTGAATTTCAGTTGGAACTAAATAACCAGCGTCTGTTAATCCTCTCAGTGTTTTGGTTGAAAGGTTGAAAACTTTAAATTCACTTTTATCCAAACCAGATTTATTGTTGGATTTTTTACCTTTTCCTTTTCTCATACCTTTAGCATCGTTTCTCGATAGTTTACGTTGACCAAAAGCCATTTTGATTGAATAATAAATTAATATCACTATTAGAAATTTAAACAACAAAATATTCAAAACATTACACACATGTTTCTAGAAATGGACTTACACATGTTTTTTGGCAAAAACCCAAGCAAAGCGACATCTGCTGAGTAAACTAAACTTCAACAGCAGTAACAAATTAAAGGATTGTTTTTTTATTTATTCAATCTGATGTAGTCGTATTTAGCTGAAAGCTTTTTTAATTATTTTGTTATAAATCCTTTCTTGTCATCTTATTATTTTCATCAATTAGAGTTTGTTAATCATCATTATGGCTTTTGGATACCTTAAGGACTATGAGTGGGCTAGTGAGTTCACTATTGAAAATGAAATTGGCCAATCTTGTCAACCAGATGAAATTGCTTTTCTTGATTGGGAATCTTTGGATGCTGGTTCATCTTCAAAATCATCCTCATCTAATCGAACCACAAGTGGTGAGCTTTCATTGAACAACTATTTAGACCAAAGCAAATTGACCATTCAACCTAATGATAAAGCCAGATTAGGGGAAATAAAAGACGTCGAAACATTGAATTTACGCTTATCTGCTTACCTGGAAAGTGCCAAACTCACTGAGTTCCATATTGAAGAATTGATGCAATTGATCATAAGTTTGCTCAATGATAAAAGCAAACCTCATTCACACCTGGAATCTGAATTAATGGATCTTCTTGGATTTGGTGCAATTGATTTGATTCGAGAGATCATTCAAAATCACCAGTCAATTATCAAATCTCACAAGTCGCTGTATCAAGAAGCTTACCCAGGAGACCAAGGAGACTCAACTGCTGAAGCTTTAGCTAAACTGAATTCACTGCAGCCTAATCAACCCAAGAAGCCTTCAATAACTCAATCAGTGGTGGTACAAACAATTGAAGAGAAAAATTTGAAAAAATTGATTCGTAAATGTGAGAAGAAAATGATGAAAGAAATTAAAAATGAAGCCAATGATAATACTTATGATACAAATGATTTTGGTAAAATTAAGCAAGAAAAGGAACGTCAATTACTGGAATCAATGTCTGGACCATTATTTAAGCGAATAGGACCAGCTGAAAGAGAAAAATACCCATTTGTCTTCGATAACTACGCTGAGGCTCAACTGTCAGCAGCATTTATTTGTGGAGCTAAAATTGCATTGCCAGCCGGTTTCAAAAGAAACGATACATCAAAATGGGAAGAAATTGAGATTCCTCCTTGCTCCAAAATTCCACCTGATTTCTTGCCTGAATTTGGTTTGATTGACATCGAAAAAGATTTGGACCCGATTGGACAAAAAGTATTTGCTGGTTTCAAGAAATTAAATAAAGTGCAATCAATCGTATATAGCACTGCCTGTAATACTAATAATAATATGTTGATTTGTGCTCCAACTGGTGCTGGTAAAACAAATATCGCCATGTTGACTATTCTAAATGAATTGAGACGGCATTGTGATCCTGAGACATTAATGGTAAACGGATCTGAAGAGTTTAAAATAATATACATCGCTCCAATGAAAGCACTTGCCTCTGAGATGACGGATAGTTTTGCCAAAAGATTGAAAGCTTGCGGAGTAAAGGTTAAGGAATTGACTGGTGACATGCAATTGTCCAAAGCAGAAATTATTGAAACTCATATGATCATTACTACTCCGGAAAAATGGGATGTTGTCACTAGGAAACCCAAAGGCGAAGTTGAATTAATGAAGTTGGTTAAATTGTTAGTTATTGATGAAGTTCATCTGTTACAATCTGATCGAGGTCCAGTGGTTGAAGCATTAGTTGCAAGAACGCTGCGTCATGTGGAATCAACTCAATCAATGATTAGAATTGTCGGTTTATCGGCAACATTGCCCAATTATGTTGATGTTGCTACATTCTTACGTGTTAACTTAAGAGAAGGATTATTCTTCTTCGATGACAGATTTCGCCCAGTTCCATTAGGGCAGACTTTCATCGGAATCAAGTCTACTTTTCCTTCAGCACAAATGATGATATGGACGA